GATCGTCGCAACGAACGACACCGCGCGACGCCGCGGCGCGCCGTCGTCGAGCGACTCGACGACGCGGACGATGGACGGTGACGCGATGGCGACGGGGCGCCCGCGCGTGGGGCGACGGGGCGGGCGCGGACGAGGTGGCGCGCGATGGCGCGTGGATCGGTGGTGGACGACGGGGTCGGTGCTTGGCGTCGCGCTGTGCGCGCTCGCGCTCGCGCGTGGGGCGCCGGTGATGGCGATGGGAGAGACGACGTCGCGTGGCGCGGCGCGGCGCGCGTTGCGGTCGTTCGGGAGCGGGACGGGGAAGACGATCGCGGAGCATCGGGAACATTTGTCCACGGGCGTGTCCAAGGAACTCGTGCAGCGCGTCGCGAAAGACGGCGCGGTGATCGTGACGTGGGCGAACTCGCACTATTACGATTTCGCGTTGAATTGGTTGCGGCATCTCGACGCGCTCGGGGTTGAGAATTACTTGATCGGCGCGATGGATGAGGAGATGTACGCGAAATTGCGAAAGATTGGCGTCCCGTGTTGGTTGATGGGGTCGCAAGGGATCGATAAAGAGGCGGTGACGCGGGACTTTGGTTGGGGGTCGAAGAATTTTCACAAGATGGGTCGAGATAAGATTCGATTGATTCGGGACTTTACGAAGACGGGTACGGATGTGTTGATCTCGGACATCGACGTGGCGTGGCTTCGGGATCCAATTCCGTTCTTTCGGCGTTATCCAAAGGCTGATATCTTGGTGAGCACGGATAATCTGCGAAATATGACGCACGAGTCCCCGGAACAGATCGCGAAGACGGTTGATGGGGAGGGATTGGAGCCGCCGTGCGCCGGGACGGCGAACATCGGGATGATGTGGTTCCGGTCGACCTCTGGAAGTCAAGCCATCACGGATGAGTGGGTGAACAATCTCGAGAAGGATGACAAGATTTGGGATCAAGCTGAGTTCAACACGCTCATGCACAAGGGCGGATGTGGGATGGATAACGACGGCTCGGGCGTCGGTAAGGCGTACAACGGCAAGATCATGCTGGGCACACTTCCCGTGGCGCTCTTCAATAATGGACACACGTACTTCACGCAACGCCTGCCAGAGGCTATTAACGTGAACCCATACGCGATGCACGCGACGTTTCAGTACGAGGGCACCCCTGGTAAGAGAAACCGCATGCGCGAGGCCAATCAGTGGTTAGGCGATCGCGACGACGCGTCGTACTTTGAGCAAAAGTTCCTCTCGTACACGCCTCGCGTACTGAAGGGTGTCGACGTGACACAGTTTGAAAAACTCGGGTATCCAACGATGGACCATCAGCTCAAAACGCTGGAAGAGGGTGATCCCGTCATTTTGGAACACATGCGATTGGTGCAGCACCAAATCGCTCAGCTCTACGAAGCGGTGGCAGTTGCGAAAAGTCTCAATCGAGTCCTCATCGCGCCGCCGTTTTTCTGCGGACTGGACCGCGCCTGGTTTCCACACGGAGGTCGTTTCCCGGGATCGATGCTCACGCTTCCGTTTATCTGCCCGCTTGATCACGTCATGGCAATCGAGAGCTACGGGTCGAGTTTCGTTGAGGAGTATCGAGAGTACTCGTTCCTCGGTCATCCAGACATGCCCAAGGATACCGTTACGAAGGAGAACGTGCGACGCGTCGAGGTGGAGCCGACGGTGTCCTTCTCGAAGACTGCGCCCATCGATCCGAAGTATGGCATGTGCTTCCAAAAACGCGACAACGAGGGTAAAATCATAGACAATAACGACGACGAATGCGTGCCGGCGAGGAACAACGTGTTTCAATCGGCGAAGGCTATCAAGCTCTCGGGGCAGGTAGATTCGCTCGAGGATCTCGCTGCGGCGCTCGATAGCGTCGTTAACGTCAAGTTCTTACACTTTGATACCATCATCGGCGTCACGAAGAGCTCGCAGGCGTCGACGACGACACAAATCAGAATGGGCATCTGGTGCTGTCGCATGGGTAACCACGAATTCTACAAGGTGGACAAAGTAGATCTCTTTGAGATAAGAGCGCCGGAGGGCATATTTCCGGATGAGAGCGAGATGGCAAACGCTAGCAAGACGCTCGCGCTACCGGCGTCTCGTTCAAACTCGACGATAATCGAGGGGAATGAGACAAACGAGCCGACTCCCGAAGATGACGCCGAGAGACACGAGGTGGAGAACGACGATGCAAAAGATAAAATGAAGAAGACGGACGAGGAAAGGAAGGAAACAGGCGAGCAAACCGATGACCAAACCGACGACCAAACCTCCTCCAGTCCAGACGCTGCGGCGATTGAAGCAGGTCTCACAAAGTTCTTCAAAGGCGACCTCAAGAAGGTTGGCGCCGCGTTGCACTTGATCGAAGAAGCGCACGACGCTGGACTGGATAAAACAGACTAACATTGTAAACGCATTCATCACAAATATTTTACATCGGCTATCCCGAAAGGCTCACTCGCACGCGCATCGACGTCTTTTTCATTTTTTTGTCGTTCACTACGACCAAGCCCTCTGTTCGGCCGCCCATGAGATCGACCATGCGAGCTGTCAAATTATCCACGAACTGATCCTCTAGAACACCACGCAGATATAGATTCTTACCTCTGTAACTCACACTCGGCTCCGAGAGCGAATCAGGATGCGCTGCGACAATGGACGACATGAAATCTCTGAGTGTCGCGTACGCGCTCACACTGTGCGCGATACCGGGCGAGCACATGACACACATGGGGTCGCGCTCGTACTCCACCGTGTGCGAATATACCCCGTCCGTACCGACGTACATAATATAATTGTTCATGCCTTTTGCGCACATCGTGGCTATTTTCAGCGTTTCGATGACGCACGCCGCGGCGATGATGGCGTTCGTACTCGGAATCGCCGGTATGATGTTTTTCGTCACGCCCTGTGTGTGCGAATACGTCACTCCCTCGATGCCGAACGTCTCTGCGCGCTTCAACGCCTTTTTGTACACCCAAGTCATGTGTTCGACGACATCTGGATCGAACGTTTCGCCGTGTCTCTCCGCCGGCCACTGAATCAACTTCGCGTACTCTATGCAATGCGCCGCACTTCTCGGTGTCTCCGCGAGCGTGCACAGTGGAAACGTCGTTTGCGGTGGGAAAAGCCACATGGTGCAGTGAAAGCACGGCGTCATGCCGGGTACAATGACGCGCGCGTGCCCCTTGAATCCCTCCGTGCCGCCATCGACGAGCGGCTTGATGGTCGTCGGATCCACGTTCCCGTCCTCGTCGTACTCCAAGAACCCGCAGCACACGGAGTTGATGTACGCCCTCGCCTCCAACGAATCAAGACCCAGCGCGATGATGTCAAACTGTCTGTACCATCCGTCCTCCTTGTCCTCGATTCGTCCGTGATGCGCCGTGACCTCGCACGTCGGCACGCGCTCTCGCGTCCGCCTCGCCGCCGTCTCCGCCTTGCTCTTCCCCACGTCCTCGCTTCGGAACAAAAATTGTCGATTCAAATTCGACACGTCGATCGTGTCCATGTCGATCACGTCCACGTTCCCGAATCCGCTCATCGCTGCGCGAGCCGAGGCGACGCTCGCCCGTCAGTCTCGAATTCCTAATCATCACCCTCGCCTGCGCTCGTTCGCCCGCGGATCGGGGCAACGACGCGCGACGCACCCAGTCCTTTTAACAGCTCGCACCCGAGCCCGCCGGCGCCGACGACGAGGACGCGCACGGCGCGTAAGACGCTCGAGATGTCTTCGCTCGGGTCGAAATCTGGTCCGGTGAATCGTCCAGCTCTCTTGAGCATCACGTCCACGGCGCCGGGTGGGCGCGCGTCGACGTCGAGGCGGGACATCGCCCCGGCGATCGGGTCGGGGGCGTCGGCGTCGAGGGGAATTTTTGAATCCGAGGGGACGACGCGCGCGACTGTGCGGCGTCGCGCGAAGTCGACGCGGACGTCTTCATCGTACGCGCCAACACAGCCTCTTCCACGCGCGGGCGTCCACGGCTACTCATCGCTCGAATTAAAGCGCATCATCTATTCACGTGACTCGACGGTGATGATTTCGTTCATAGATTCGGGATCGGCTCGACGCCCGCGGCGTCGTCGCGCGCGGGCGCGTCTCGAACGCCGTCGTCGCTCAGGACGAAATCGACGGTCGCCTCGCGCAGATGCGGGGCGTACACCACGTGTAGGCGCCGTCGAACGCCCCCGCACGCCACGACGGCACCGCGTCCGCGCGCGTCGTGTCTGGTGAGAAACAATCTCGTGTTCACGCAGTTGGCCCACATCAAACCGAGCGCCGGCTGCGCGCGCCGCCCGCTCGTGTCCAATCCCATAAACGCCCGACCCAACCCCCCGACGCACTCCCCCGCCTGAACGACGTCCACGACGTGATTCGTCACCACCACCGCGAGATCGTGCACGCTCGCGTACTCCTTCAACAGCATCGTCATTTTATGCAACGTTCCGGCGCGTCTCGCCGCGTACGTCGCCCCCCCCCCATCCGCATCCCTGAACGGCGCCGTCGCGCTATCGACGACGATCAACCGCACCGGCGCGCGCACATCGATCGGCGACCGCAACACCGCGCTCACGCCCTCCAACGTCTCTCGTAATCCATCCGCGTCGCCCAACGACTTCACCGCGTACACGCGTTCGAGCGCCCCGCGCGCGCGCGCGTCTCCCCCGAACGCCTCCACGAACCGCCTCGTCGTCGTCATCCGTCGCATCACATCCGTCGGCGCTCGACCTTCGGTGTGGACGTACACCGTGGATCCACCCAGGTCGAGCTGGGCGAACAACGCGAGCTGGGCGCACAGATGGGTCTTCCCGGTCCCGCTCTCACCGCACACCTCGGTGATTTGCCGCGTCCGCACGCCACCGCGAAGGGCGGCGTCGATGGCGTCGCATCGCGTGCGCGCGATCGAGCACGTCGCCGACGCCGCGGTCGCGTTCGGTGGACGCATGCGTGTCGTTGACTGCCGCGATGTCGAGACGCGATGGAAAAGATGCACATTCGCATCAACCGCCGCCGCGTTTCGCGACGCGCGATGACGTCGAGGACGCCCGTGAACGTCATCACGGGCGTCCTGGGGGCCGGGAAGACGACGGTGGTGCGGGAGATGGTGGCGAAGAAACCGAGCGAGGAGCTTTGGGTGGTCATCGTGAATGATTTCGGTGCGTTGGGCATCGACGGCGCGCTCGTCGATGACGTCTCGGGACGCGTCGTCGACGGCGCGGGCGCACCGCGCGTGGTCGTGCGAGAGGTCTCGGGTGGGTGCGCGTGCTGCGCGTCGTCGTCGCCGTTTGAGATCGCGGTGGCGCAGACGATTCGGAGATTTCGACCGAGCCGGGTGCTCGTCGAGCCGAGCGGACTCGGCGACGCGGGGAAGATTATCGACGCGTTGCGATCGAAAAATCTGCGAGAGAGCGTGGAGGTGCGGGCGACGGTGTGTGTGGTCGATGTGCGGGAATTTGGGGCGAGGGCGACGGGGGTGAGAGCGAGCGAGTTGTTTCGGGCGCAGACGGAGTGCGCCGAGGCGCTGTGCGGGACGCACCAGGACGTCGCGGACGACGGCGACGTCGAGCGGTTCAGGGAGTTCGGTGAGGGGTTTTGGCCGAAGAAGAATGATATTTTCTTAGCGCGCGAGCGCGACTGGGCGGTGGATCTCGCGACGCTGGACGCGGCGTGCGGATGGGAGTCGCGCGCGCCCGCGACGGAAGACGAAGCGTCTCCGTCCGCGGGCGCGGGCGCGTCGAGAGGTCGCGGACCTTTCGAGCTCGTCCCGCGTCTCGTCGCGAATGGAACACCGTGGATGGTGAAAAATGAGAGCGATGATCATTACGCATCGTGCGGGTACGCGTTTCACGCCGACGACGTCTTCGTTCGTCCGCTGCTCAGAAAGTTTTTTGACGAATTCTTACTCCAACGAGCCGATGTGGTCCGCTTCAAGGGCGTCCTTAGACTCGGCGCCGAGTGGGCGCGTCCGGACGTCGACAAAACCGATCCCGCTCGAGGGAAGAAGATCGCGTTCACGGAATCGTCGTACCGTCGCGACAGTCGAATCGAGGTCATACGTCGCCGCTCGCCGGATGTCTCCCGAGCCGACGACGACGACTTCTGGAACGAAATCCGCGGTCGACTCGTCGCCTGTCGCAAACCGCCTCGACCGTGACCTCCAACTCGCGTTCACGTTAGCCTCGTGTATCATCGACCTCATTTTTTCGTCGTTCACCGCGCCTCGACGCGCTCGCCGTCGCTCGAGCCGCCGCTCGGCGACTCTCAAAAAGCAACCGCGCGCGCGCCACTGCGCCACATCGCGTCGACGCACGCGCGCGTCCCGGCATCGCGTCCGAGCACGAAGACCACGCTTTCGATCGCCCGCGCGCGGCGTTCACGCGCGGAGGACGCGAGCTCGCGCGTGACGCGCACCGACATCGCATTTGTCGACGTCACCATCTCTCAAAAAGCGTCATGGCCGCGACGCCGTCGACTCGCGGCGCGCGCGGGCGACACGACGCCGTGCGAACGCTCGTGACGTGCCCGATATGTTTGGACCCGTTCTCGGACGCGCACTGCGTGGCGACGTGCGGGCACACGTTTTGTCACGCGTGCGCGCGGGCGACGCTGGACGCGTCCGCGAGCGGCGGCGGCGAGCGGATGGCGGCGTGTCCGACGTGTGGATCGAGATTCACGAACGAACAGTTGGTGCCGAACGCGGCGGTAAATGGAATGGTGGCGGAGATGCGACGAATGTTGGAGGAGGAGGAGGAGAAGGCCGCGGCGGGTTCGATCGTCGCGGACGGCGCGGACGACTTGGAGCGGCTGACGCCGTTGGTGAAGAAATTGAGCGAGAAACATCGCGAGTTGGTGCTCGAGTCGCGCGCGGCGTCGCGCGAGGTGCTCAAGGAGTTCTTATTAGAGAGTCGAGCGAGGAAGGAGGCGAGCGCCGAGGCGCTCGAACGCGAACTGCGGTGCCTGAGCTCTGACATCAACGCGGTGCGGCGGGAGATTCAGCTCTTGGGCGGTGGCGACGACAGTGAGCAGCTGCAAGACCTGCTGCGATCGCGAGGAGAGGTGTACGATAAGGAGGTTATCACGCGCGCCATGGAAGCGCTTGGTTTGACGAGAGTAGGCGATATTGTCGTCGATGAGTCCAAACGTCGACGCGTGCTGCGGCAGTTTAACGAGTTGCAGAGCTGGTACTCCAGAAGAAGATGCTTGGAGAAAACGGATGACGAAGGTGCTGAGCCGGCCGACGACGCGTGTCCATCCGATTCGGAGACGATCGAGGAGTTTTCAAAGCTCATAGACACGTTCAAGCGGTTCTCCAACATCACCATGGCAACGGAGCTCGTCACCACCGAGGGGGGCGGGACCAACACAGGCTCTCCGATCAGTAGCATTGAATTCGATTCGACGGAGGAGAATTTTGCCACTGCCGGAGTGTCGAAGCGGATTCAATTTTACAACCTCGAACGCGTCCTCGCTGGTTCACGGCAGCCCGCCGAGCAGATAATGACCCACTCCAAACTGACGTGTCTGTCGTACAACAAGCTCATCAGGCAACACATCGCGGCCAGCGATTACGAAGGCGTCGTGTCCATCTGGGACGTCGAAAAGAAGCGCGCCATTATCGACTTCGAGGAGCACGAGAAGCGGATTTGGTCCGTTGATTTCTGCCGCAGCAATCCCAGTCTCCTGGTGAGCGGCTCGGATGATTACTTGGTGAAGATTTGGAACACAGATCAGCGCAATAGCGTGCATGAGATCGACATGGAGGCCAACGTGTGCTGCGTGCAGTTCTCTCCGAATGATGACCACGGCATCGCGATCAGTTGCGTGAACCAAAAAGCGTACATTTTTGATCTCCGTCGCCTCGACGAGCCACTTCACGTGCTCGAGGCCCATCGCAAGGCAGTGAGTTACATCAAATATCTCAACGCCAAAGAAGTCGTCACGGCGTCGACGGATAATACCATCAACGTCTGGAACACTAATTCCGGCGATCTCACGTGCACGCTCAAGGGACATCTCAACGAGCGAAACTTTGTCGGTCTCACCACTGCGGGGAGTCAACACATCGCGTGCGGCAGCGAGACCAACGAAGTCTTTCTCTATCGAAAAGATTTACCCATGCCCATCACATCCATCAGCTTCGCGCAAGAGCGTGCGCCCGAAGAGAGAGGGTTTATCAGCGCGTGCACGTGGAAGAGCGACGACTCTGTGCTCATCGGCGCCAACTCAAACGGCGTCGTTCGCGTGTTTCACGTGTAGGAAAAGAATATTAATAGCGATACGGTACCATAGTAGACTCTTAACCGCCTGCAAATCGGTCGCTCCACCCTCACGGACAAGACGCTCGCATTTCTTCTTCAAAGCCTGAGCGGTCGACTCCGCCTTGACGCGAGCAGCCTTTTCAGCCTCGAGACTTGCAAGTTCTCTTTCACTTCGCTGCATCAACGTGGCGACGGTCTGCTCAGACGAATTGAGCTTGGCTCGCACGTCGACGATTTGCTTCTCCATCGCGCTTAGCTGTGCCTTGGAGCGATCGGTCACTTCAGCGTTACTGCTCGTCTCCTGTTGCATCTTCGTGAATGCCTCCGTCGCCTCCGCTAGTTGACCTTCGAGCTCCTGAGTTCGCGCGTAGGCGTTTTCGAGATCTCGTTTGTAGTATGCGGCGGTTTCGCTGATGCGCTCGCACTCGTCTTCAAACTTCTTTGCGGCTGACTGCGCGACAAGCTTTTCGCTCACGGCTTTATTCTGTGCCTCTTCACTCTTCGCGATGCGACCGAGTAGTCTATTGCTTTGCTCTTGCGCCTCGTCGTACGCGCCCGAGATGGCTTCGATCTCCTCGACAAAGGCCATTACTTCAGCTTGCTTTTCCTCGAGGGCCGCATTCGCGGTCGCCGCGGTCGCCTCTGCAGCGGCGAGCTTTTCCTTGAGCGCCGTGATTTCCTTCTCTAAGTCGGCAGCCTTAGACGTCTTCTTCTCCGTCGCGGACTGCTCGAGCGACTTGACTCGCGCCTCGGCGGCAGCCTTGTCAATCTTCGCCTGGTCGAACAGCGCGTACGACTCCTTGAACCTGGTGTTTTCATCCTTCAACACTTTGTTCTCTTTCTGTACGATGTCCAGCATCTTGATTTGCTCCTCCTTTGCCGCAGAGGTGTCTTGCTTTTCGGACAGAGCGCGAACTCTGACTTCCAATTCATCGCGAGCTTTCACGACGTGCGTGAGACGGGCGTCCAATTCATCGGCGCGAGCGTCCGCGGAGCTCAGCCGTTTGATCGCCGCCTCGCCGCGCTCAGCAGCTTGACGATCACGAATGGACTCCTGCATGAAACCGTCCATTCGTCGGCGCATCGATCGCAAGTCTTCGTTGAGCTTCTCATTTTCTATCTTGAGCGATTCGTATCGCGCGTTCAGGGCCACGTACGCCGGCGATGTCTCCACGCTTCTGCCAAAGTTTTGACCGTCGCCGAGTGCTCGCAGCTTAATCGCCATATCCGTCTTTTCCTTTGTTAGATCGTTAATCGTCTTCTCGTTGTGCTTTACTTTCGCCTCGAGCTCGGCGACGTCCCCCTTGAGCTTAGTGAGCTCGGTCGATGAGACCTGCGCGCCCGCCGGCGTGCCCGGTCGACCCGGTGTGTCGGCGCCGCCCTTGTCACCCGCCGCCGCCTTGGCCTCGATCTGCGCCCCCGCCGCACGCGCGTCCTCGGCGGTGGCCATCTTGGGTAAACCCTCAATCGTCTCCCCGGTGTCGTCGCCCCCGTTCGCCTTCGCGATCGCGAGCCGTCGGCGAGTCACCGCGAGCTGCACCTCGAGTTCATCCAGCTCTCCCTGTAACTCCTTCACCTTGCCCGAGTCTCTCAAGTAGGCGTGCGAGAGCGCGTCGTAGTCGCGCTTCAGTTTCATTCGACTCGCCTCGAGCGCATCGATCCGTTTCTTCGCCTCCGCGTCCACATCGTTCGCGAATTTACCGTCGATCACATCGATCACCGCCGCCAAACGCGCCTTGGTCTCGTCCGCCTTATCTCTCAGAGACCTCACGAGCGCCTCGCGCTCTTCGTCGTCAAACGTACTCGCCCCATCCTCGAGCTCCTCCACCGTCTCCTTCACCGCATCGTCGTCATCACCGCGCTTTCGCTTCCCACCCGCACCTCCATCCACGCCCACCAGCGTCTCCCCAGCGCTCTTCAACAACCGAGCGATGAACGCGTCGCCGTGCCCCGCGCCGCCGCTCGCGTCCTCCGTCGACGCCTTCGCGCTCTCCCTCACCCCCACGCGCGCGCACAGCGCCTCAATCGCCGCCCTCGCCGAGTTCCACTCATTCGTCACCACCCCCACCACGCGTTCGTACCGTTCTCCCCGCCCTGTCGCCCTCGACAGTCTCCGCTCGGCGTCCTCCGTCTCGCGTCGCCGCGTCTCCAACTACGCCCGCTCGTCGCGAGATCGCATCTTCGTCAGTCACGTCGCCCGCACTTTCGACGCGCGCGCGACCATTCGCGCGAACGCGCGCGCACCGCGTCTCGTCGCCCTCGAACAAGCCGCGCGCGTCCACGTCGGCGCCGTCGAACGCATCCATCGTCATGTTCGATCGATCATCGCGCGCGTCTCCACGTCGCCGTCCCGCGCGCGCGCGCGCGCCCACCCGCGCACCTGTCCCGCGAGCTGACGGTTCTTAAATTCGAGCACCGCGCGCGCGGTCCCGCCCTCGGGGTCCGCCATCGCGCGCGACGCCCGTCGCGACGGGCGCGGCGCGGAGTGACGCGCGCGTTCGTCGATGTGAGACTGTTTGCCCACGTGAAAACCTCGTCCGCGCAATGGCGCAGCGCGCGACGCGCGGTAAATCGTCGCGCGCGCGTCCATCGCGGTCGAGCGCGCGCGTGGGCGTCGAGGGAAAATCGCGTCACGTTTTCGCGACGCGCGCGGGCGCTCGCGGGCGTCGCGTGGCGGGCGCGGGGGTGGATTTTGATTCGGGACATTCGAGGGGTGGCGGCTCGGTGGTCGAACGAATCGATCGTCGGTCGCGCGCGCTCGGACGCGATCGGGGTGGAGACGACGGGGATTCGCGTCGCGCGTCAGACGTGGTCGAGCGGGATGTCGGAGGTGGGAGACGCGGGGGATCCGGCGGTGCCGGAGGGGTACGCGGTGATTCGAGAGGGCGCCGCGCGGGCGCTGCAACGCGCCGAGACGGATGACGTGTTTTATAATAAGCCGCAGGTGGTGAATCGAGACATGTCGTTGGCGGTGATTCGGGAATTTCAGAGAGTTCGAGCGGAGGAACACGCGAGCGGGACGTCGAGGCGGGAGAAGCGTGGGAAGGGGTCGATGTGTCTGACGCCCAAGAACGACGGGTTGGTGCGACGGTTACTCGACGAGGAGGACGTCGACGCGATGTTCAGGACGGCGGAGGAACACAGGGCGTGGGTGGAGACGATAATTGCGACGAATGCGAAGAGCGGTGAGGTTGACGTCGAGACGGAGCGGCCGAAGAAGCCGTTGCGGGACGTGACGATTTTGGAAGGCATGTCGGCGACGGGTCTCCGCGCGCTTCGGTACGCGCAGGAATTGGAGGACGTTGGATGCGTCGTGGCGAACGATTTGGATCCCACAGCCGCGGAAGCCATCGAGAGAAACAAGGCGTACAACGTTCTGTGTAATCCGGACAAGGCGGACGCGATCTCTCGCGTGATTCCTCACAACGAGGACGTGCGCATGGTGTGCATGAAGCACGAGAAGATGTTCGACGTGGTGGATTTGGATCCGTACGGGACGCCATCGATCTTGCTCGACAGCGCGGTGACGGCGGTGAAGGAGGGCGGACTACTTTTAGTCACCGCCACCGACATGGCGGTTCTGTGCGGGAACAACTCCGAGGTTGCCTGGGCCAAGTACCAATCGTACCCGCTTCGCGCCAAGTACTGTCACGAAGCCGCCGTGCGCATCCTCCTCGCCGCGGTGGAGAACGCGGCGATCAAGCACAAACGACACATCGTCCCCGTGCTCTCGCTTTCGATCGA